AAAAAAAAAAAAACAAGCAACTGAACTCGTTTGCATGGCTAAAGAATACATAGGCCAGTCCAGAGGTTGAGCAGGACTCTTCTTTAAGCAAAGGACAAAGGATCTGGAACCTGAACTCTGGCACAGACTGCTGTTTTTGTTTGCCTTACTTCCCAGTTCTTGACTGGGTTCAAGAATAAGGTTGCCCAACAAAGGGATTCCCAATAGAGTAGAGTTAATTATATGCTAATCAGTAGAGTTAATTATATGCTAATTATAGTTAATTATGGGCTAGGAAAAAATGGTACCTTTGGCTTTATTATAAAATAAGCTTCTAAATCAGTTTTCAGGGCATCCAACTCTTGATTTCAGCTCAGGTCATGATACTACAGTTCGTGAGATCGAGCCCCACATCAGGCTCTGCACTGACAGTGCAGTGTCTGCTTGGGATTCTCTCTCTCCCCCTCTCTCTGCCCCTCCCTCGCTCTGTCTCTCAAAATAAATAAACTTTAAATCAATTTTCCTCTTAATCATTTTCAAAGATGTCCTTTATTTTTAAGAAGAGTGTTCAAATCATAGAATCATACACCTTTCAGAGAGGGGAAGTAGCAGCAAACTTACCTATAAAAAAAGAGAAAACTATACAAAGACTACATAAAACAATTCGTGGCTCCCTGTGATTACCAAAAGCATTACAGGCGTTAAAGCAGACACTGCTCAGATGAGGAAATACACACTGGCTATTCCCCCACCACAGTACCTTGCTGTCCAGGAGAAGGTTGTCTGGCTTGATGTCTCTGTGGATGAATCCAAGTTGGTGAATGGAGTCTATTGCTAATACTGTTTCTGCTATATAAAACTGAGTCTCCTCTTCTGTCAGGGTATCTTTTTTCATTAACAGGGTCATCATGTCCCCTGGAAACAAGATACAAAGCCAACACACCCACATACACACACACACACACACACACACACACACACACACACACACACACACACACACACACACACACACACACACACACAAACACACACACAACAATGCATGAGTAAGTGCCAGTTTTCAGATAGGTCTTCCCTATCTGCCTACATAAGGCAGTGCTAAACAGGACTCTTTTGTGTTCCAGAAACTGACCCACACTGCCGACATGGGTGGAAATGGTAAGTAGTTTCTAATACTTAAAGGTAAAACATTCACAGCCACAGAGAACAAAATGCTTTTAACCTAACCTGATGCTGACCACTAAGCAGTGATTCCCATTTTATTCTGGAGAGAAAAAGGAAAATTCTCTCACACTTTAAAAAAAAAAAAAAAATTCCTTAGGGTAAGTTTTTGGACTGGGGGAAAAAGTTACTTTACTTTTTAATTTGTCTGCAAACTACCATTTCCACATAGGTTATACCACCATTGTTATCAGTATAGGCTGAAATGCCAAACAAAAACTAAATATATGAGGAGACTGAAAACAAGCTCTCCAATTTGTTTACAAAACACCTGAACATAAATAAAAAGGTGAGATTTAGGTAGCACAGTGTAAGTCAACAAAAGCTAAAAAGGAACTGAAAATGCTACGTACTGGGGTATGCAATGGCTGCCTCTCAGAAGTGCAAGGTGAACACGCCCCAAGATCAGCAGAGTGTTTTCTCCACTGTTATTATAGGTAAATATACACCAATATGCTTTATGCGACTTTTACAACACAGGATCAGTATTCTAGCAGTTAAAAGGTAAACTCCCTAGTTTTCTGCAAAGTCAAAATTTAATTATTTCTGCTTACTATCAGCAACATAAAATGGTGGGGAAAAAAAGATTCTGATCCTAACTCAATGGTTAGACAAAAGCAAAGCAAAGAAAATATTTAGAAGTAGTTTAAAGCTAAGAGAAACAGGAAAGATTCAGTTTAGATTCCATATAAAGCCAGTTATGGTCGGAAAACAGGGAAAAGAGAAAGAAACCTCTGATTTTAATAGAGCATCATGCTGCTTTTTGAATTTCACTTATAACGTTGGGGGAATTTTTTGTATTCTTAGAGAAAACTGGATATTTTACACTCAGGCAAAAATTAAACCATTTATGCTCTCTTTTTTGACCCAAGACTTGAAAAACAGGATTCCCTAATCATTCCTGGCAGCTACATATTCCATCTGGAGGCACACCAGAGATGTGGGGGTGGGGCACTCAGGCCAGCTCTAAGGTAGCTGTGTGGCCTCAGTGCTGTGGCTCAGGAGAGCAGAGTTTGCCCAGATCAGAGAGCTCAAGCCAGATGGTCTATGGCTCTGAGGCCAGCTCCACGGAGGGCAAAGGGCGGGGTCCAGGAGACATGAGAAGCTGTGGAAGACGGGGCGTGTAAGGCTTGAGGAGACCCGTGTCAAGGGGCTGGTGACTGAGCTGCTTCTTATTCCTATTTAAGAACTAGCATCTAAATGTTAAAAAGTTTCTCCTCATTCTATCAGACTCTTCCCTAACTTTCATCAATTGTTCATAAAAAACTGGTGACCCTAGATCTAAATAAAAGTTGTCACAAGATCAAAATATTATGCCACAGTTACATTTGCTTTGCTATAGAACCAAAAAGAGAAAAAGTTTTCTTTTTTTCCCCCACCAGAGTGTGCTCACAGCTCATCTGTTCACTGGCAAACAGCCTGTTCCCCAGGACAGATGGTATATTCTGTTACGGGTTTACTTTGGAGCTGTCTCAGGAGACACACATGCTGAGTTATGTAAAACTTGAAATCTCAGAAATGAGAGACTGAGTCTGGCTACTAATATAGGTAATGAGAAATTCACTCCTTATTAATGTAAGTTATACCAAAAGATAAACAGTTGAAGCAAATCACATAATAGCTTCAATCTGGTCATTTGGGTAACTGATTATACGTGATTCCCATTGACAGGAGAGCAGGCAGAGTCCCTAGTTTATTCCTATACATTTAAAAAGAAAAATAAAAGAAAGAAATGTCCATCTGAAATCATGAGAATGAGTGAGAAGGTTACTTTTATGGCACTAAGAATTGTAGAAAGGCACCCCAGCACAAGACAGGTTACTGACCTCCTTTACAGACCTAAAAAAGATTTAGAAAGCAACTTTGTGAACACGATTAAAAGCAGAAAGGAGGGTTAATTGATGTGAGAGAGAAACCACAGAACAAAAAGGAAAAATGACCTTTCATCGTCAAGTAATTACCTCCAGGCAGGAACTCCATGATTAGGTAGAGGTTTAGCTTATCCTGAAAACTATAGAACATTTTCACAACCCACAAACTGTCTGCCTCCACTAGAATGTCACGCTCCGCACGAATGTGGCCAACCTGGAGGTATACGCATTTGATTAATGACAAGCCTTGCTCTGCTTCATTAGACTGTATATTTGTTTAAACAAGTTAAGTACCGTTTGAGTATTCAATTGTGATGATGCAAAAGATCTAATTTATGCTTAGGCAAACCTATGAACTCAAAATTGACAACACTGGACTTGACGGTATTCAGTCATGAACACTTGAGTGATGAAAGGCTTACAAAAGGACAAAATGAATGGCTGTCATGCAAACGGCAACTTTAACAGTGCTGTCAATTGAACCTGTGATTAATTAAAAGTACCATTCTTTTGCACATCTTTTTGTTCTAATAACCTTTTATGACAAAAATTAGTCCCCAAGATGAAACTCTCTAAACAAGTCCTGCCTCAGGTCTGCAATGGTGTCCGCAATGACGGTGCCCTAGCTGACAATTCTAGAATACTATACCACAGTATTCAGTTCGCTGCTGTGCACAGAGTATGTGCTCAATTCTTACGGAAAGGAAATACAAGAATACCTAAGAAGAGTTACTGATTCGAATTTATGGTATTTCCAGCTTTCTGCTCTTACTAAAATATCTAGCCAAGGGAGACCAAATTGCCAAAAGGTTTAGGAGAACTGGCAGAACTACTGACAGAACTACATTATTTCATAATAATGTTTTATTATCAAATTTACCTTATCTACTTGAAATATGTAAGAGTAATCAAACCACAGCTGCGTATTATCAAATCCTGTCCCCTCTCCTCTTACGCTAAATGTCACAAGATGCAAAGGTGGGTTCAACCAGGTCTCCATTTATTAAGACCCAGTGCGATCCTTGAATAGAAGTTTTGTTCTTAACATATGCAGCAGGGCTTCAGTCCTACCCTACGTTCACAGGTAAAGATGTACCGAAGTTCATAAACTGGCACTTCCTGTTGGCAAACTCAGCGCATGATTGTTGTTTTGTTCAATACGATGCTCGATACAATGCTTTGTTTTACTGCAATGTCTTTAGCAAAGCCAGGCACTCTCTCTTCCAACTGGACACAGATCCCACCCTTCTCTCCTGTCTTACCCCTAACCTGCCTCATTCTTCCCTTCAGGCCCAAGGGAAGTATTGAGTTTACATATCTCAGTTTTCAGTCTCTACTAAAATTCTTTGGGAAATTTTTAAATAGCTTCAATGTTGCAGAAAACTTACATTTTTACATTTCTCCTTAGGGCATTAGATAAGGGTGGTAAGGAACAGTGTTATGAAATCACAAAGAAGCTGAGTAAAGGCTAATGCTTTTACTCAGCTTTAATACAGAAGCAAAGCTTTTGGGAAACACTAATGCACTTGCTCAACCGCAGCTGTGGCTGTGCCCCAGTCATCACCGGACATAAAGACTGCTCAAGCCAGCCTCCAGCTGCCTCTGCTCTCCTGGCTCCCAACAAGGCCTCTACCTGCTGCAGGGAGCCAAAAAAAAAAAAGGGGGGGGGGAGGCAGAACTATTACCACTCGTCACTCACCTCGGAGGACAGAATGGTGATGGCAGCACTCTCTGTTTGTTAAGGGGAAAGCTACAGGCCACCTATGCACACCTTGCCCTCCTCTCCTGGGGCTGAGACAGCAACTAGGAACCTCAATATCTAAGAGTGGAGTGAGGTTAACATAGGGTAAGGGAAGGAAGAACCAAAGGTGCAACTCACATCAGAGGTTCCCTTTCTCTGTTCCATAAATATTTAATGGGGTGGAGTCACATGCTAGTTGCTATCCTGAGCACTAGGAAAGCAGAGATAAAAGTCCATCTTTTGTCCCCTCCTAATACTGTACTAGCATCACAATTGGAGGTTTTCCTTTAGCAATGTAAGAGAAACATGAAAAAGCTAGCTAAATGCTGGTCTCTTGTCCTTTAAAATTTATTTTCCAGACGGCAAAATTCCCACCCTATGGATCAGAATAACGACCTAAACTCTCAGTGGGTAGCTCTAACTCCTGTTCAGTTTAGTAAAAGCAAAGAAAAAACTTTTCCTAGGGGAAAGGAACCTGTACCTACAAAAAGTTAGGCTCTGAGTCTAAACTTGGTCAGCCCTACCCAAGTGATGGATCTGCACTGGTCTACTTCCTCTCACGCCCTAGCACCAACCACGCTTCTTCAAGATGGCCGACTCAGGTAGAGTCTGTGACCAGAAACTTTAACTGGATCACACTGAGATCAAATCTAGGGAGCACAGTCCAACAGCAAGGTGAGCTAACAAGTAAGCTAATACATTGTTTAAAATCCTAATTCTCATGGAAAGCTCCTCTACTTTCATGTAGGAACACTTTAGAAAATGATTTTGAAGAAGGCACAGTATTTGAAAAAATGTTTTTACACTGTATATTTGAATTGTCCTCTGTTACCATGCTGGGCAACTGGCACATGTTATGAAGGATTAATAAGTGAAAATCATGATGCATATTTTTTACATTTTATTCTGAACACTAATTATTTGATAAAGAAAGGTTTTGAGACTTGGTGAAAACTATAGGAAGGGCACCTGGGTAGCTCAGTCGGTTAAGTGTCCAACTTCAGCTCAGGTCATGACCTCGGGGTTCGCGAGTTCGAGCCCCACATTGGGCTCTGTGCTGACAGCTCAGAGCCTGGAGCCTGCTCTAGATTCTGTGTCTCTGTCTCTCTCTACCCCTCCCCCACTTGCACTGTGTCTCGCTCTTTCTCTCAAAAATAAACATTTAAAAAATTATTTTAAGTAATTTAAAAAAATAATAAATAAAGTTATACGAAATAGGTCTTATAAAAATAAAACTTACTTGTGAAATACAAAATATACTGACTCATCACTACAGTTTTCCATTTTCCTTTTCAAGACTAGCTACAACTCTTTCAGGGCCTATACCCATACCACACAATAATTTTTAAACACATAAATAGGGCTGTTGAGCATTCTGAGTAAGGTTGGTATCAGCATAAACTATAGTGTCTGAATGTTTACTGCCAGGGTATTTGATACTCTCAACCGAAATTCCTGGGAGTCTAAGCTTATAGGTAACACATGAAAATTAAAGAGAAAATAAAAACTTCAAATTTTCACTGGCACTTAAAAGGACTGAGAAGCTTCAGTGATTACACCTCCCTTCAAGAGGCAAAAAGGACTGGGTGTGGGGCCAGTCTCCAACCCTGCTCTTTCACTCTGTGTCCAGGGCTCTCCTTGCCACAGGCTCTCTCTTTGTCTTCCTGGAGCATCTGATCCTTTACAGGACATATGCAGGCATCACCCACTAAAATCTGTTCTTAAGCAAACAGCTAAATTAAATTAGATTTACAGAAAAGTTGCATTCTTGTTTTTAATATATTATCCAAAATTTAAAATTTTATTTTGCATAAAGTTACTTTTGCATCTTATAAATCTACTTGCAAAGTAGGTTTAGGTTTTAGAAAGTGTTCTCGCTCCTTAAAGGAGAAATTGTACTGCTCTGCCGTTTGCATTAGATTTTTTCAAATTCATTCAGAAAGAAGACTGGTCTGTCTTGGGTAGTAATGAGCTACTGAGAAGACCCAACTTTGGTTTGGGAATACAGAATGAAGCATATTAAGACACATTTTAGACTGCAAATTCCAAATTCTAATTCCTAAGGCTCAGTCCCAAAGTGTTAGTGTGTGTGTGTGTGTGTGTGTGTGTGTCTGTGGGTGTGTGTGTGTATATCAGCATTCAATAGGAACGCGTCATCACAGCAAGTGTGACCCCAAAAATAGGCTCCTCATGACAAGCACAGCATGTGATCAATTGGGAGACACAAACAGCAGATGCTTCTAATAGGTTTTCAACTTTTAAAAGACTGCACATAACATAAGGCATTATTTGTACTTTTAAAATACATGTAACTGCTTCTTTGTTGGGGAAAGAAAAGTAATACATGTATATTTGTACATGACAGTGCTAAAGAAAACTGTAATAAGAAAATACATTTCAAATAAACAAAAGGAACAGTTTTACGTAACAAAAAGCTGATAAGCAGCCTAAGATCACCGTTACAATTGTGGTTTACCTGCTCTTTTTCAAGCATATCTGCTTTGCGGAGTATTTTCATCGCATACACATGCCCTGTATCTTTCTTCTGAACAAGCCGCACCTAAGAGTTATAAAAGAAATGCCAAGTCAAAAGTTCACAATGCCAAGGTAATTAATGCTTTCATGTGTTATAGGAAGTAATTTAAACTGGAAAAGTGTTACAATTTTAATATATAAACAACCAGCAATTAAAAAAAAAAAACAGAAAAAAAGTGCTTTTTAACATTCCAAAATGAGTAGATTTATTATACACGGTGAAGTCAGTCCTGAAAACTTTCTCAGGTATCTCTAGATCTGAACAGTTTGGCTCCCTCGTTGAACAAGTCAATCCTATTTGAAAACCCTCCCTTTTGAACTTAAGGACTCATTATAACCATGGCACCTGTCATCCACAAGCTCAGACAACCTAAGGAAGTGACTGCAACAGTGTTTAAAACAAAAGCAAAAGCTCATGTGCAAGAAAAATGTCTAGAAGGAAAAAACCTAAAATGTGTCATTAGGGAAACAGGGTTTTGTGCAGTTTTCCTCTTTCTTATCCTCCAATGTTTTTAGAGCACATAATTTTACGATGAAAAGACAATCAATAGTCCACAAACCCAAAGAAAAACTTCTTGGCAAGTCCCTGCACATCCTCCCCTGCAACCCCCCATCCCCACCAAGATACTTAGGCTATCTCCTCCCTGCACCTTTCTTCATGTTTTTCCTGACTGAGTCCCACGTCCCTCCCTCACTAAACAGAAAGTTCTTTTAGAGGTAGTACCATACCTTCCCCTGTCTCCAGGAGCCAACAGGGATTTTGAACACTGAGGGATCAATTTAATCTTTCACCTGTGCCTTTGAGTATGTACTCACATTTCCCCTAGGTATGGGTTTTTAATAATATGCTGCTCAATTTATACAAAGTTAATGAAACTATTGCATCATCCACTTTGGGTGAGTCGTCCACTTTGGGTGTTTTCCACTAATGAGGATGACCTTGCAGGGGCTCATTTAAACCCTCCCCATAGACTGCTCTTATGACCGAGCAAGATGCATCTACAAGACCTGGTGGGACAAATGCTTTCAACTCTCTACCACTACCTGTATAACCCATTTCTATAATCTCTGTCTCTTGGGGCCACCTTTTTAGAGCGATACAAATCTAGCGGGAAGAAATAAAGGGTGGATATATGCTGTTGGTTTGCTCCTGAAGAGGCAGTGTGAGACTGGGAAAAGCAAGAGCTTTAAGATCAGGAACTCCTTTAAAAAACAAAACAAACAAGCAAAGGGAAAGAAAGAGAGACAGACAGAGAAACCAAGAAAGAGACTCTTAACTATAGAGAACAAACTCATGGCTACCAGAGGGGACATGGGGGAATGGGGGAAACGGGGTGAGGAATGAGGAGTACACTTGTCATCATGAGCACTAGGTGATTAAAATGAAAACTTAAAAAAAAAAAAAAAATTAGGAACTTCTGGGCCCAACTTCTGGTACTGCTGCTCAATGGCTATGTGACTATGGAGCATTACATATCCTTTCTCGGAGTCTTGATTTCATCATCTATAAAATGAGTCATTGACATGATTATAGGAGAGAAACACTCAGTAAATAGTAAATACTGATTTCCTTCTACCTTTCACCTCTCCCTCTAAATCAATACTTAAAGCGTCAACATCATCTCTGGCAAAACAGAAGAATAATCAGAGATCTGGGTCAGTGGAGGGGGAGGAAAGGACAGACAGCAGTTACAATGTGGGCCTGGCACATCTGACCCACCTACCCCATATTTCAGTTCTATCAACAATCATGAGCTGATGATACGCTGGCAGCTTCAAAGTTCTGTGGTATTTTTGTATCTTATCTGGTACGTAGCTGTGGTTTTTACCTCACCGAATGCTCCTCTGCCTATTACTTTTAATGATTCAAAATCTTCCAATCCAAGTCTTGTTCTCTTCAAACGAAGAAACTCTGTTTCCTTCCGAGCATGTGCTGATCTCCTCAGTCGTTTCTAACGTTTAAATAAAGGGGGAGAGAGGAGGGAAGGGAAGGAGCTGAATTTCTGCAACTCCATAGCAGTCTTACTCGTGACTGGAAAGCAGGGCCATGCCGATTAATCATGACCTTCTCACAGGTGAGAGCCTCACAGAAGAACCCTGAAGAGGCCACTCCTCCCCTCCCCAGCTTCCGGATACAAAAACAAACCATACTGATCATCGGGGTGCCTCCGGTGGACTCTGACTAACCTACTCCAGCAGTCAATTATTCGAACTTTTCTAATGAAGGCAGAATAAACAATCAATATTTTCCTTTAAACTTTTTTATATAAAATCAAAGTGTGGGTTTTTTGGTTTTTTTTTTAACACATTCGAGTTCATTTTATGCTCTATAATTCCAACAAGACTTTGGTATTTTTCACCATTTTCCTGGATTCTATGATTCATTCCTATTTTTGAAAGCATTTCCACGGTCATTTCAGTTCCTTGCACAGTTTCTTAACTGTATTTTCTCCTACCAAGTCTGTAGACACTGGGGGGAAGGGCTGATTTGAGAAATATTTTGCCTTGATAATGATTTCAGGCATTTGCACCACTTCTGTGGAGATATTTCCATGATTTCTGTAAATATGCTATGGTTTCCTTTTAAAATTTTAATTTGATCTCATCTCTTTCTTTTCTTGGAATTCTAAATCTAATTAATTTATTACATCTGGGCCTAAATAAGACTTCCTCTCCTGGGTACTCAGTAATTAATTTCTCCATCTTCATGAATACCTAAATCCAGAAGTGCACCAGCCCTCCTAAGTCCCTCTGCTACTAAGCCAAAACCCTTTCTCTATGCACCAAGGCTAACAACTTGCTGCACAAGACTCGCCACGTTGGGTTTCAAGGAAAAACTTCCCAATATTAATTACCTCTTCGTCCTTTAGGCCTTCCTCTTCCATCACTTTTTCTAACTTCTTTTGTCTAAAAATAAATAAAAATATTTGAAATAACATTTGAATAACTTTCTGAAAAAGCCTATCCAAACACAGGGTTTTTTGTAATGATAAAAACAGGTAAATCTCAAAGTGCCTCATTAAAACAAATTATAGTTACTAAAGACAAGTGAAAAGATTCCCACCCTTTGTTAGTTCTACCTTTTGAAAAAGATTGTATAAGATGTTAATGCAACAAAGAATCTTATTTCAAAATGAAAAGTTCTCTTTCCTTTATTTTTAAGTTATTTCCTCCTTAACAAACCACAAAACAGCTGGTGTTTGATAACCTCTTCTATCAGGGTGTTTCTCTCTCTCTCCCAGACTGGTATCTACTTCCTTTATTTTTACATCTTCCTCCTCCTCCCTGCCACAAACAAAGAGCAATAAACACTAGTAAAGGCAGAATTTGGAGATTTGGGGTGGAGGGGAGAAAAGGGAATGGTCAAAATACGTGATTGGCACCACTATCAAAACTTAAAACTCTAAATCCTTGGAGTATTAAACTTTAAAAACTGCATCCAAGAATATTTTTGAGCTACAATCTCACAGTGAAACAAGTAAAACTTCCTTATAACCAATTCCACACAACCTTTATTTATTCAGCATAATAAATGAAAGCACATGGGCTGGGATCTCTATCACTTATCAGCATTCCTGATAGCAGGCAATGTGAGCAGGACAGGGAAGAATGAAAGTACAGAGTACACGAGTACACGCAGCAACAGCATGTAGTCAATGCGGGGGAGGCACACAGCACTTCAAATGCCACACTTCAAATGTCAGTCTGTAGACAACTAAAAGCTCCAGAGGCCTGTGTATAAAGGAGTGAGGTGATGAGGTTCTATTTTAAAATGACAGCCACAGTAATAAGCTGACGGGCTGGCAGGGAAAGCAACTGACAACGACTGAGGCAGACTGAAAGCTTTAGTAACGATTCAGACGAGCAGTAAAGATCTGGAACTAAGGCTAGAAACCTAGAATGAAGTGAAGAGAGCTATTGCAAAGATGACCAACTGGCAGCAGGAGTCAAAGGAAAAATCTTACAATTTCTTGTGTGGGAGGATAATGACACCAGTAACCAAGAGAGGAAACACAGAGAAAGGACCAAGGGAAAGGTAATGGGTTTTATTTTGGTCAAAAAATAATTATTGCAATAATAGTAATTAGTTTAAATCAGTATCATGTTAGAAATCATATTACACATCCACAGGATCAGATGACATCAAGAATTCATATCCAAAGTCTCAGGAAGTAAAAAGATCTACTCTGACCCTGATTGGGGGGGGGGGGGGGGGGGGGGAGTCGGGGAAGCACTGGCATGGCTCCCAGTCTGCCCACTTCTCTTCTCTTCGTTCCCAGAATATTTTGGGGTATGTATCTATGTGTGCACATTACTGGAAGGAGAAGGCTGTATTACTGGTACTTTCAGGAGTGTAAATTAATTCCATTTCAGTGGTTAAATAGTTGAAGTAGAGAAGACTAAAAAGAATCAAAGATAACATCACAGCAAGAACTATAATATCTCAACCATGGTTAGCTCTTTTTGTGCCTTCAGTATCAAACACCATAATTTCCGACTATGTTTTTTTGAATGACCACACCAGACTAGGCTAGAAGTCCAATGTGCTATCATATAATGTGTGTCCCAGAGATGGTTGCTTCTGTGTATTTTTTTTTTTTTTTTCCGAAAGAGAGAGAGAGGGAGAGAAAGGCAGAAGGAGAGAGAGAATCTTAAGCAGGCTCTGTGCTGGGCATGAAATCATGACCAAAGCCAAAATCAAGAGTCGGACCGTAACAGTCTGAGCCACCCAGGCACACCTGCTTCTGACTATATTTTAAATCTCAGTTCCAACTAAGAAGCTTTCCATAGCTTGACTGCAAGCATAATTAAATTGGTTTCTGTAGAATATCTACCTGAGAGTAAAGTTATCAGAATCAACTCCTTGAACACAATCAGATTCGTTCATCAGAAAAGTATCCAGAAAAAAGCCTATCATGGTCATGATACTGGGGCCAAGCCAATGAAGATCTTAAAGACACCAAAAATGGCAAGCATAGCCTGAAATGAGGCTTACAAATGATATCTTCTGTGAGATGATCCCAAGAAATTACCATTAACTTTGTTAGATTCATGATGACCTTGTAATTACACAAGTAAATGGCCATATTTTACAAGATGTACCCTACAGTACGTAGGAAATGACAGATGTTTAAATTTTGTTTTGAAACACAACTGCAAGAAAAAATAAAATGGAATAGATGAAACAAATTTAACAAAATCTTGATGATTACTGAATCTGAGGAATGAGTATATGGGGGTTCATTGTAAGATACATAGATACATACATAGAAAGACATATAGTCTTTCTATATGTATGTTTAAAAGTGTTCATAATGAAAAAGAAAAGCAGGCCCCTCCACTGTGTGTCCCTGGTGGAAGAGCCAGTTTAGCTAACACTCCAGCCATTGGTGAAGCTACTCTTGCACTCAACTCCAAAGGTCCAGAGCAGAACCCCAGGAGAAAGACCGCCCACTTACACTTGGAGGCCACCCCTAACCTCACCCCATCAAGGGCTTTCTGTGAGCTCTACTTATCTGCATGAGAGCCCACTTCTCATAGGAGATGGTAAGGGCAGGTAGCTGAATCCTCCTTCTCCACTAAGAATAGCGTCTTGTACACAGCCAACTTCATAAAATGTGTGTTGCCAAATGGGGAGGAAAAGATCCAAGTGTGTATCAGTGTGCAAACATACTTATGACTGCATGTAATTAGCCCCTTTTGCCAACCTTAAGTTCACCTCCCAGTACAGCTTGATTCAGAGGTTGCAGAAATGGGAGAAAAGAGCTAATCCACTCTACAAGACAGCTGACTAGACACTATTTCTAATTTCTGTTGATGAGACATTTTAAAACCAGGAAAAATAGCAAAGAAATAAACACTACTTGTTATTTCCATGATCAAAATTGAGAAAACTCTCAAGAAATATCCTAAAAATGAATATTACAGATTTTTAAAAAATCTCGACAAATTACTTTGGTTTGACTGATATATCTAATCAGTGAATTAACAATCAAAGGTCAAGATTTACCCATTCCTGGGACTTAAATAAAACTGACACTTGCTGACTAATAGTAATCACAATATTACAACTCAGTATCAGATCAGACCAAATGCAGACAGGGGGAAATCTGGGTAGGACTATCTAACAGGAGTAGTAGAACTTGCTAATTCTCAAAGGGTAAAATGTAGGAAAATTCTTATTTGATTTGGGGTAAGAGGGGAGGAAACACACCATTACTTCCTATTAAATTAGGTTTTTGTGGCTTTAATTAATCCACCAAGATAGTATTTATGAAGAACAGAAACAACACAATATTTAATAAGAAAACAATGCTGGGTGCTTGGGTGACTCAATGAGTTGAGCATCCAACTTCAGCTCAGGTCATGAGCTCATAGCTCGTGGGTTTGAGCCCTGCATCAGGCTCTGTACTGATGTACAGCTTAGAGCCTGCTTCAGATCCTCTGTCTCCCTCTCTCTCTGTCCCTCCCCCACTCACACTCTGTCTCTCTATCTCTCTCAAAAATAAACAAACATTAAAAAAAAATTTTTTTTTTTTTAAGAAAAAAATGCCATGGGGCGCCTGGGTGGCGCAGTCAGTTAAGCGTCCGACTTCAGCCAGGTCACGATCTCGCGGTCCGGGAGTTCGAGCCCCGCGTCGGGCTCTGTGCTGACAGCTCAGAGCCTGGAGCCTGCTTCCGATTCTGTGTCTCCCTCTCTCTCTGCCCCTCCCCTGTTCATGCTCTGTCTCTCTCTGTCTCAAAAATAAATAAAACATTTAAAAAAAAAAAAAAAAAGAATCCAAAACAAAAAAAGCACTGATTTCAACCCATTTTGGGGTGTAATTTAGTGTAAATCACAACGTAACACTTATTAATAACATAACACCATTATCGTATAATTACTAGAGAACAGGATACATATCAATAATGAACTTTAAGGCAGAGCCAGTAGGATTAAAAACCAAGTATTACAGGGTTGCCTGGGTGGCTTAGCTGCTGAATGTCAGACTCTTGATTTCAGCTCAGGTCATGGGATCGAGCCCAGTGTTGGGCTCTGCGCTAAGTGTGGAGTCCGCTTCAGATTCATTCTCTCTCTCTCTCTCTCTCTCTCTCTCTCTTGCTCTCGCTCTCCCTCCCTCCCTCTCTCTGACTCTCTCCCCCACTCTTCCACTCTCTCTCTGAAGTAAAAAAAAAAACAAAAAAACCTATTATCAAATAAAACAAGTATCTTAATCAGAACTCGTAAGTATTTGTTTTCTTTCTATAATACCAGAAACTACAATTTCAAGAGAGTGGTTGTATTTGAAAATAACTATCTCCAACAGCATGCCTAGAGATATACTGTGCAAATTTATCCTTGAATTCCCCATGATCCCAACATAGGGCACTCTGCAGGCACTTCTCTGTTTCAGTAAACAGCAGCAAGCCACCACCAGCTATAAAATATTTTGCTATTTCACTTTCAGATCTGCATATTTAAAGTTCAATCATGATTTATACCTTCATGAAGAGTGTGGCTGCAAAAGCTCTTATGAAAATATTAGTATATCAAATCCAGCAACATACAAAAATAATACATTATATTATAATCAAGAGGGCTTTACCCCAGGAAGGCAAGGTTAATTTAACCTGCAAAAAACAGCCCATGTAATTCATCATGTTAAAAGAATAAACAGCGATGCAAAGATGCAGAAAAAGGATTTGACAAAATTCAACACACACTCATGTTAAAAACTTAGCCAAACAGGAACATAAGAAAATTTCCCCAATCTACAAAGGACATCTCTGAAAAACCTACAGGTGACATCACAACTAATAGTGAAATAGTGAGTGCTTTTACCTTCAAATCAGGAACAAAACAAAAATGTCTATTCTCACCACATATAGCCAACGTTGTACCTGATATCCCAGCCAATCCAATAAGG